CGCGTCCGCGTCGGGGTGGGGCCGCGTCAGCGACAAGGCAGGGCCGCGACTGCGACCTGATGGGGCCGCGACAGCGACCTGACGGGGTCGCACGCTGGCCTGACGGGCCTGCAGAGGCTGCGTGCGGGCGGCGAGGGCCTGCAGGGGCGGCGCGCGGTCGGGCAGAGGCTGCGCGTGGGCCTGACGGGCCTGCAGGGCCGGCTCTCGGGCCTGACGGACCTGCAGAGGCGGCTCGGGGGCCTGACGGGTCTGCAGAGGCGGCTCGGGGGCCTGACGGACCTGCAGGGGCGGCTTGAGGGCCTTACTAGCTTGCAGGGGCGTCGCACTGGCCTAGGGCAGCAGGAGGCAGCGCGAGGGCTGCAGGACGGCACGCGGGCAAAACGAAGGGCGGGGCGCGCGAGGGCGCACTAGCAGAAAAAGGCGCACGAGGGCGCACGAGCAGAGAAAGGCGCACGAGGGCGCACGTAAGGTAGTGCGCACGAGGGCGCTTCTAGCGGAATAGTGGGCCCGTAGTAGTAAGCGGTCCTAGGTGGCAACCTAGGCTCGTGATACCATGTCAGAATGAACAAGAGTGAATGAACTAGAAACGAGTTGGGTACAAGTAGGAAACCCTAACTTACTGTACCCCATAGTAACTACCCCACTACAGACTAAACCAACTGTAGCAGATATAACATTTGACATATCAGAGCAGGTCGACCCTCGCGGGTCAATCCTGTGGATGGGCCCACCCTGCTGCTTCCGCTGCTGTCCTGCCTGTCGCGCGCCCCGGGCGCGCGACGTTCTCTGCCTGCCGCGCGCCCGGCGCACGCGGTGAGCGCGCGGCGGTTTTCTGCCCACCACGCGCTCGGGGCGCGTGGCGGTTTCCTGCCTGCCGCGCGCCTTGGGCGGGCGCGGCGGTTTCGTCGCCCGTCGCGGCGCCCCGGGGGCCCGCGCGCTGTCCCCTCCCGTCGCGGCACCCCGGGGGCCCGCGCGCCGCCCTACCCGTCGCCCGTCGCGGCGCCCTGGGGGCCCGCGCGTCGCCCCCCTTCCCGTCGCCCGTCGCGGCGCCCTGGGGGCCCGCGCGTCGCCCTACCCGTCGCCCGTCGCGGCGCCCTGGGGGCCTGCGCGTCGCCCCTCTTCCCGTCGCCCGTCGCGGCGCCCTGGGGGCCCGCGCGCCGCCCTGCCCGTCGCCCGTTGCAGCGCCCCAGGGACCCGCGCGCCGCCCCGCTTCTGCTCGCACGCCGCCCCAGCTGCTGCCTGCGTTTCTGCCCCGCGCCGCGCACGCGCCACCTGCGTTGGGGTGTGGGGGTGGCGGGTATGGGGGTGGCGGGTGTGTGAGCCGTCCCCTGCTCCTCCTCCTCCTCCTCCTCCTCTGTCTCCCACTACTGCAGCTGCCGCTGAGGGGGGTGGGTGTGTGGGAGCCGAAGGAGTGGCGCTAGGGGGGTGTCGTGGGAGTGGAGCTAGGGGTGCAGCAAGGGGTGTGTGAAAAGGGTGTGGGACAGTTGGGGGAGGTTGAACGGAGGTAGCCGTCGTGACGTCAGCAGCGCCAGTAGTCCAGGGGTCACCCTTGCTCCAGTAGCCCAGCGAGCCTGCTACGCCAGTCGCCCGTGGGTCCGTTGCTCCAGCCGCTCGTCTTAGCCGCGGAGCCAGTGACTCCAGTAGTCCGGATACCCTTGCTTGTGTCCGGTAGCCCGTGCGCGCCGCTCCTGTTGCCCGTGTGTCTGCGGCTTCATCCGTCGCCTCCTATCTCCACTCTTCTCACAGTCCCTCCTCCTCCTCACTTGCCTCTAGTTTTGCTTGTGCTTGTGAACTTATTATGCGACTGCTTGCTGTGCTGATTATACCCCACTTTGCCTATGGGGGTGTGTCAGAATGTGTTATTGTCTAGTCTGCAGCGGGGTACTCTATAATGAGTACAGCCCAACTAGGGTTTGCTATATGTATCCCATTGCTTGCTAGTGAAAACCCTCTTTTCTGTTCTAACTTTGTGCCTACTATTCTGATAATATCCTCCCGTAAGGAATCGGACTCGATAACAGCTGTAATAGGAATCTATAAGAAAAGGGGGGTGTTATAGAAAATCACCCCAAAAGGGGGGGTATAGTACAAACGAGGTCAATTATAACACCCCGGGGGTGTACAATCACGGGGGGGTGTTTTATCCGGGAGAATACGGTAGATATCAGTGTACAACAAGTGCAAGATCAAGAGACAAGCAAGTGAGGCAGAGTGGGCAGAAGCCCAAGAGCAGTGCAAAAACGCTAATGATCCAGACCCAAGGGCCTTGGTGAAGACATCAGTAGTGTTGGCCCGAGAGGCCACGTGGAAAGGCGAAGCTGACCACGCTGCTGCAGCTTTCGAGCAAGAAAGTAGCGAAGAGCAATGTGCTTCGTTCTGTGCTCCAGTCTTTGCTCGTGACACAAGGCAAGCATGGCCTTATTATCGACGTACAGAACTGGAGGAGAACGAGGCCGCTCCGCCAAGTCGGACAGCAGGTCGGTCAGCCAGCGTAGCTCCTGTGCAGCCATAGCCCCAGCGTAGATCTCGGCCTCACAGCTGGAACCAAGCACAGAAGACGAACGAGTAGACCTCCACGAGACAGAACCAGAGCCAAGACTGAAGGTGTAACCCTGTGACGACCGCTAAGTCGCCTGGTCTGTTAGAATAAGGAAACAGGAATGATTGCATTAGGGTTTGGGGACAATACAAGTAGGCAACCCTAGAAGTGTTGTACCCTATATGGGCTACCCCACTACAGCCTTCAGACATACTATTGTATTTTTACATGGTCGTCGGCCCAGGAAGCACCTGAATGATCTGTGAGTACCACTGAGTCCCGTCCTTCAAGCACAAGCCCCATGCCCGATGTACTGCACAAGTAACGCTGTACCCTCTTCGCAGCATCCCAGTGCACCTTTCAGTGTCTACCGGGTGCCATGTAGCGAGCTAGGAGTGTGAGAGGATACGCGAGGTCAGGTCGTGTGCACGCATCAGGTACATGAGGCAACCCACAAGCTCTGTATACGGACCACTCGGCTCTACGGACTCGTCCGAAGGTGGAGCTGAGAGCGAGTGGCCTGTAGGCACAGGAGTGGGCCGTGGCGAGGACCACGTGAAGCCAAAGTGCTGAAGGACCCGGTGCACCATGCGTGACTGAGTCAGGATGATGGTGCGCCGTGCTCTGTCCCGGGTGATCTGCAAGTCAAGATAGCTCCACATCTCACCCAGGCTAGTGCAGGTGTGTCTCTCCTGCAGCTTCGCCTTCACTAGGGCCAGTGCCTCAGTGTCAGCAGTAGCAAAAATCAAGTCATCGACGTACACGAGAACGTAGAACGGCGGCAGAGAAGTGTTGTTGCGTAGAAACAGCAACGGGTCAGCAGAGGAAGAAGCAAATTCAAGAGCCGCAAGTGTCATCCTCAGTGTGTCGTGCCACTCCCGGGGCGCCTAGCGGAGACCGTAGACTAGCCGCTGGAGGCGCCACTGGGTACCCTCAGGAAACGACTCAGTGAAGCCAGGTGGGCGGCGCAGCCAGATCTCCTCGTGAGGCTGCCCTGCAAGAAAGCTGTGGAGAAGTCGAGGGAGTGTAGCTCGTAGTCACGATGTGCTATAACGTGCAGCAACACCCGAAGAGTAGTCATCTTCGGGGTGGGGGAGAAGGTATGAAAGAAGTCGACCCCCTATCGCTGACTGAAGCCTCGAGCAACGCAACGCGCCTTGAAGGCAGGCGGAGAACCCAGCGGCCGCTTCACTATGAAAATCCACATGCCATCGACTATGTTCGCCCCAGGAGGAATAACCTCGTCGTCGTAGGTGCCTATGGACTTCCAGGAAGCCATCTCTGCGTCCATGGCAGTGCAGGGTAGGGATGTCAAGTGCATCCGGGTCTCCCTCAGGGCAAAGCAGTATGGATATGAAACGAGGTAAAGTGGCCGTAAGACACTCAAGCTCAAACTGCTTGTCCTCAAGGACGTCACTGCTAAGGGCAGGCTCATCCCCGACGGACAAAGGACAGACAGACTCAGACTCCGTAATAAGACTCCCGAAGTAGTTGAGACGACGCCTAGCAGCAAGGTCGACTAGCTCAATGACTAGGGCACACGCAGCAGTAGACTCAATAGAAGGGTCAGTGACGACAGTTTCGAGGAGACGAGTGACAGTAGGACTAGCGGCAGGAGCAAGGTTGACGTCAGAAAGAGAGGACGCCGGAGGAGACAGCAGGACAACACGCTGTGGAACAGAGGAAGGACGAAGTGCCATCACATGAGTGCCTGGGACAACAGGAGGACGAGGACGGGCGACACGATGAGCACGAACAGGTGTGGAGGCACGAGACTCAGGCTCACGACGCTCAGTCAGGGAGTCTGACAGCTCAGTGTAAGGAGAAGGAGCAGGCAGTGGGGAGCGAGGTGGCAACTGTGTCTTAGACGGGGTAGACGGTGGAGACAGGAGAGGTGGAGTGAGGCTATTGGAAGACGGGAGACTAAGAACATGGCGAAGGGCCGAGTCAGGCGGTGGCAGGGACGACTGCGGCTGCAGGAAGAAAAACGGTCGGCGCGGCACAGTACCCCTACCGTCAGCAGCTCCAACACCTCCAGCACCTCCAGTACCTCCAGCACCTCCAGCTCCAGCGCCTCCAGCACCAGCCGCACCTCCACCACCTCCACCTCCAGTAGCCCCAGCACTTCTAGCACGAGCACCTTTATGTCACGATATGCTCTTAACTGGTAACCGGGTTTAAGGAGGGCCTAGGCTTAGTAGCCTAGGCCAAAGGGATGTCGAGTAGTTTGTGCCAAGGAGAATTGAAGAATGGTTGGGGGTTCACTATAGCACACGAGTACATATAGCAACCTAACAAAGGTGAAAGAGGTGCACCACCATACAAGGGAATTACACAACAGCTACACTACAGGCAGATTATACAAAATAGATATAAATCTATTTTGACACACCCCCTATCTGCCTGAAGTGCATAACCATGTGCAGAGCCCCCCTTGAAGGGGTACACCTGTAAAACCCCATTACAGGGCGTGGGAACACCAGCAAGGGGCCCCCTCTGAAGCTGACAAGCAGCAACCACCAAGCAGCATCTGAACCACCGCGGTGGAACAGGTGCCCGGCTGCAGTTGAACGCCCCGCAGCAGGTGCACGGTGTGCGAGGAGCACGGGTACGGGTAGCGGGTTCGGGTAGCAGCTAGGTGCTGTACAGGACGGGCCGCACGGGGGTGACGGGCAGCACGAGACCAGGCAGCACAGACCGGGTGGGGCACAAACGGGTACGGACAGCACGGGTAAGGCACAAACGGCCAGAACGGGGCAGCACGGGCAGAATGGGGCAGGACACGGGCTGAACGGGGCAGGACACGGGCTGAAAGGGGTAACACGGGCAGAACGGGCACAACACGGGGACAACGGGGCAGCACAGGCAGAACGGGGCAGGACAAGGGCTGAACGGGGCAACACGGCACGGGAACGGGCACGACACAGGCAGAACGGGGCAGCACGGGGAGAGCGGGGCAGCACGGGAGCATGGGGGCAGCACGGGAACACGGGGGCAGCACGGGAACACGGGGGCAGCACGGGAACACGGGGGCAGCACGGGAAGCAAGGGACGCACGGGTGAAACGGGTGGGGCACAACCGGGTAGGGACAGCACGGGTGAGACTGGTGGGGCATGACTGGGTACGGACAGCATGGGCACGTGGAACACGAGCGGACAGCACGGGCATGGGCATGGGGCAAGCACGGGGAACACGGAAGCACGGGACGCACGGGAGCACAGGGAACTCGGGCGGACAGCATGGGCACGGACACGGGGGAAGTACGGGGTACACGGGCGACAGTACGGGAGACACGGGCGGAAGCACGTGTGGACAGCAAGGCACGGGCGGCAGGGGATGAGAGGAGGAGGCGGATGATGCTGCAGTTGAACTCTCACCACCCACACCCCCTGAACCTCCCTCCCACAGCAGTAGTAGCGGCAGAGAGAGCGAGGAGGAGGTGTGGTAGCATCGGATGGGGGTGCAGTTCCACTCCCCCTTACATGAGCCGCCAACCCCGCCACTCCCCCTCCCCCAGCCGTCCCCCCACGGGCCAACACCCCACCTCCTCCCCTTCCTGCTGGAAACGGAGCCAGAGATGGGGGTGGGGTGGCAATTTTCGGTGGGGGGGGCGGATTTGGGGCAGAACGGCGGTCTGGGTGCAGGTACGGGGTGCGGACGGGTCTCGCGGACGGGGGCACGGACGTCGTGCGTGGTGCGGATGGCGTACGGGCGACGGGCGGGGTGCGGGGTGCGGGTGGCGTACGGGCGACGGGCGGGGTGTGGGGTGCGGGTCGCGGACGATCTGGCGTGTGCAATGGCGTAGCAGCAGCTTCGCCCACCACTCCCACTACTCTCGCCACTCCCGCCACTCCCTTCACAGCAGTTGCGAAGTCGACGGGAGGGCGGGCGGGGACCTGGCGACGGGCAGCGGAGTGCGTACGGGTGGCGGGGATCTGGCGACGGGCGGCAGGGTAACGGGACGGGCGACGGGCTGCAGCAGCGGATATCGCGCGGACGGCGGGATGCAGTTGCGGGTAGTGCGCGGGCGACAGGATGCCGCAGCGGGTAGCGCGTCGGCGACGGGCAGCAGCAGCGGGTAGCGCGTGGGCGACGGGCTGCGGCAGGGAAGCGCTCACGAGGCGCACTACGGGCTCCGCAACGGGGCACGCCATAGCGAGAGGCTAGCGGTGGGCCCATAATAATTCGGTCCTTTGGAAGGAACCGCTCGATACCATGTCACGATATGCTCTTAACTGGTAACCGGGTTTAAGGAGGGCCTAGGCTTAGTAGCCTAGGCCAAAGGGATGTCGAGTAGTTTGTGCCAAGGAGAATTGAAGAATGGTTGGGGGTTCACTATAGCACACGAGTACAGATAGCAACCTAACAAAGGTGAAAGAGGTGCACCACCATACAAGGGAATCACACAACAGCTACGCTACAGGCAGATTATACAAAATAGATATAAATCTATTTTGACACTTTAGTACCAGCAGCTCTAGCACCTCTAGTGCTAGCAGCTCAAGCACCTCCAGTACCTCCAGCTCCAGCAGCTCCAGCTCCAGCGCCTCCAAGACTAGCAGCACCTCCAGCACCAGCAGCACCTCCAGCACCAGCAGCTTCAGCACCTCCAGCAGTACCTCCAGCACAAGCAGCTCCAACACCTCCAGCAGTACCTCTAGTACCTGCACCTCTAGGACCTGTAAAACTCCAAGCTCCGGCACCAGAGCGGCCTCGCCGAATAACCCACTCACGAAGCTGCTGTGGTGAGGGTGTCTCGAGTCGACTGGGCGGCTGTTGCTGTCCAACGCCAGGACCTGCAGCAGGAGCATCCATGGCCTCACCACCACTAGGACGCGCAACACCCCCAGAGTCAACACCCCCAGAACCGTCACCCCCAGTCTCAGCACCCCCAGGACCAGCACCCCCTGAGTCCTCACCCCCAGTGTCACCACTCTTAGCAGCACCAGTGTCCACAGCTACAGGCTGCAGAGGCGGCGAAGACGGTCGAGGCGGAAAACCAGGAGGGGTCTCCAAGCGTGGAGAGCGACGAGTGGCCGCCGTGTCGTCAGCGGCGGGGTCACCCCCCTCAGCTGGGCCAGAGGTGTCAGAGGGGACCACCAAAGGCTCAACCAAGAGGGGTGGGTCTACCTGAGACACACCTGTGGGAGCAAGACCCTGTGGGGGAAGGGGGTCTACCCGGGGGGGAACTGGAACCAGGAAGAGGGGCGGCGGGGGGACTGGGTGGGACGCGTGTGGGTGGAGAGTGCGAGGAGAGAACTTGCCCGCGGTGGTATCACGGACAAGGGAGAGCGCGCCCCAGACCCGAAACGCCGACGCAGCGCCAACCTCTCCCGTCCAACGTAGTGTGGGCGAGGTCTCTAGCAAAGAGACACGAGGCCAGAGGTTGAGCTGATGCGCAGCATATCAGACCGCAAACGGCGACAGAAAATGGGGAGCAGCCGCATGATCAAGCCAATGCGACGCTCAGTAATCCCATTCTGTTACGGAGAGGTTGGAATTGTGAAAGATTGGACGATGCCCTCGTCTCGACAGAACTTCGCAAGGAGACCGGAAGAGAACTCACCGCCCCTGTCAGAGTGCAGACGCAGGACTGGAAGGTCCCGCCGAAACCGCTCGTGTAGCTGGCGACGAGTAGCGCAGATCCAGGGGATCAAAACACCGCGGACGTCCGCCTTGCTCCGCAAGGGGAAGACCGTGGTGTAGCGCGTGTAGTCGCCAACAACCAGCAGGAAGTGGCACTCCTTTTCCATCCCACGGACGCGGGACGGGCCCCACACGTCCATGTGGAGAGTCTGTAGAGGAGAAGTGGTCGGAGGAAACGAGGAGTGAGGAGCGACGCGCTGCCGCCCCTCAACGCAGGGAAGGCACGACAGGGCAGGCAAGCGCGGGAGAGGGGGCAGGGACCTGGGAAGGCAAGAGACAAGGAGACGGGAGTGCATGCTGCGTAGACGCGGCAAACAGGGGTGACCGAGTCGGTGGTGCCAGAGGAGAGTCTCGTGGGAGAGTACCCGACACGAGCACGACGCAGCTAGCTGACCGGACGCAGACACCTGACTCGACGTAGCCACCTGACCTGACGCAGCAACCTGTGCAGACGCAGTCGTCAGGTTGTGCGGCCAGTCCGGGATCATGTACAGATCGCCACACGCTGCCCTCCACGGGTAAAGGTATCAACCCATACATCCTGGAGGACTGCGTTACTCACCAAGTTCGTCAAGAACGAGGGGAGGTAGAGACCTAAAAGAGAGCCGGAGGGACTGCCAGACACGGGAGGACAGTGGAGGCTCGTGCGACGACAAGGCCCCAGAGGGGTCAGCCAGTGAGACTAGGACAGGTGCAGCGAGTGGTGTGACTGTGGTGCAATCACCAAAGAAGCAACGAGACGCACTAGAGTGAAGTGTGAAAGTGTGCAGGGCCTCAGCTGAGGTAGCAGACTCACTAGCACCTGTGGCAGCAGACGCACTAGCACCTATAGCGGCAGCAGACTCACTAGCACATAGAGCAGCAGCACCTTCACCAGCAACGCAAGTTACACACGAATAACACGCACCCTCCGCACTAATATCATCAACATACATAGCATAGAGAGCCTTGTTGATATGAACAAAGTCAAGAGCAAACACATCCACATCGTTCGCTATCAGCTGCAGCCAGTTCGGGACCTCCTACTCATCACCGTACTCGGTCACCCAGGCATCCTCGAGACGACCAAAACAACAATACTCAGTGTGCCCAGGCCTCCCGGCAGGTCTGACCCTTCTTGGGCCTTGTGCGCCTGACATACGAGCAGCAAACAGAGCTCCCAGGAGAACCACGCTGCACAACCCACTCACAAAGCTGCTGAGGGGTGGGTGTTTCTGGGAGGCGTGGCAGCTGCTGTCCACTCCCATAGCCTCCGCCACCACGAGCTGAACCCCCATAGCCTCCACTCCTGCCAGCTCCACCCCGACCGCCTCCACCACCCCCGCCGCCTCCACCACCCCCGCCACCTCCACCACCCCCGCCACCTCCACTGCCTCCTCCTCCGGTGCCACCTCCACCGCCTCCGCCCCCGCCACCACCACCCCCGCTACCACCACTGCTAGTGCCACCCCCACCACCCTTACTCCCCTTGCCCTTGCTGCTGCGGCGCTTCCCACTAGGAGCAGACGCAGCGCCGACTCCCTCAGCACCAAGGAGGTCGACAGCAGCAGTAGAGGCAATTGAGGGTATGAGAGGGGAGGGAGCACACCCTTCAAGAAAGGGGGAGCGAAGAGTGCCACGGGAGGCAGCGACAGCGATAGTACTGGTCTCAGCCTCAAGAAGGTACTTCTCCAGCGAGGCAAGCGTGAGCTCAGTGGGGTCAAGGGCAAGGAAGTGGTCCCTAACTGTGCGGAGGGAGTCAGGAAGGCGAGTGACAAGGAAGTACAGGGCGATGTACAGTGGGGGGGGTTTCGCAGTGAGGAAGGCCAGCTTGAGAGCGGCGTGGTAGCGAGTCTCATTAAAGCGAAGGTGGGTCATGAAATCAGCAACGGTGTGGAAATCTGCGAGCTCATGAAAGAGGTACGGGAGCATGAGATGGCCTAGGGCAGCAGTAGCTGGGGAGGAGTAACGAGCGACAACATCGTCATAGAGGGCTTTGGCTGTCTTCTGCTGGCTAAAATGCGCCCTCTCAGCTAGCGGAAGGTGGTTGCGGACAGCAAGGCGGCCAGTAGCGTCACGCGTGAGCCACTTAAGGGGTGAGGAGGGATCTGGACGTATGTTCTATCAATGAAACTCCATCCCTAGCCTTGCTCTGCAGGTACAGCTGGAGATCGTCGAGCCAAACGTCAAGGCTAATAGGGCGACCCTCCGCATCAAAGCTAAGAACCAAAATGGTGGCCATAGTAGCAGTAGCAGTAGCAGTAGTAGCAGCAGCAACAGGAGCAGTAGTAGCAGCAGCAGTAGGGCAGTGCGGCTCGGTAGGGGCAGGGCAGCACGGCTCGGGCAGCGCGGCTCGGGCAGGGCGGCGCGGCTCGAGCTGGACGGCACGACTCGGCAGGGCGGCGCGGCTCAGGCTGGGCAGCGCGGCTGGCAGGTTACAAACAGGTTACGAACATGTTACGAACATGTTCCGAACAGGTTCCGAACATGTTCTAAACAAGATGACGCGGCTGAAGCACAGGGCTGGTGTTCGCGATTCGGGGGGAGTAACGTGAGCGTTACAAGCTCGTGAATGGAATGTTGTGCTGGTGGCGAGACCAGCGAAGAGTTCGAAGTGTGAGTTCAGTTACTCACGTTCTGAACAACAATCACAGTTCGGACTTGTAAGTGTTTGCGCCTCGGGAAGCGAGGCCCACGTGGCGAGTAACATTTCGTTGAAGGTGTGACCGTGAATTCCCCGCGGGTTTCGAGGCGCGCAATTGTCTCGCTGCTGCTGACACAGGTGACCGATCACGACTGGTTCAACATCACTCATTTTGAATGGGAACGATCACAACCGTTCGAGAATGGCGTGGGGGTTCATATCGTCAAGATAGTCCGCGAGCGAAATTTGAAATATTTCAGCGACGTATCGAGAGCGCGCCAGGTGTTAAAACATATAACCTGAGTAGAAAGTTTCCCCATGCCTGCTGCGTGAACGTTGCCAAAGTTACTATTCGTTTGACTACGTCGAGAAAGAGATGAACGCTGCTAAACCCAGTGACCACTACAACTCTTTCTCTACAAGCTCGGATGGATAGGGGCTGATTTTGGTCAGGCACCCAGGGACCCTCGGAGGTGACTCCGAGGCTAATAACAGCCGGAATAGTGTGTATTCTTAGTAACAAGTGGTATCAGAGCTCTGGTTACAACGTCGTCGCCGTTAAAATGACATGGGAGCGAATGGATCTGAAGGGTCTTCGAGCCATGCAAGCAGTGGAGGCCAAGCAACTGGAGGTTCGGCGCCAAGGATGGCGCAGACCAGCAAGGGGTCCCTGCTAAAGGAAGTGCTCAGGAACTTCAGTGTGGATAAGTTCAATGGCACTGAATATGATGATTGGGCATGGAATGTGTAGCTGTATTTCAGGCAGGTAGGACTGCTCAAGTTGATGATTGGGAAGGAAGAGAGACCAAGCGACCCTAACCAACAAGCCGAATGGGATGAAAGGGCGTCGGTAGGTTTTCTATCACAGAGCTTGGAGCTTAATCA